CGTGCATGCGGCTACTTTAGGGGAAGACGAAGTACATTCGCAGTGGTGAACAAGCACCTCTTGGGTCTCGCCCCTTAGCGCAGCGTTCCGAGTTAATTAATGCAGTTTTGTTGGTTTACCAGGGACCTACCCCGCTTCCACTCGCTTCTACTCCCCTCCGCCCACTTTTCACCAACCCGTCCATGAGGTGGGTGGCTGCACCGGATTACGAAGTTTGGCAGACCACTTTAAGGCGGCCGCTTCTCTACTCTCTCTTTTGGAATCTACTATTGGCAGAAGTGAACCCATCATTCTGGATTTTAGATCAGAAATGACCCAGAAACGATCCAGCAGCTCTTTCGGAAGAGATGCACTTACCACACAATAAGGACCGTTCCCATGCAATTAGGTCGCAAAAATGCTGTAGTTTGATTTTGCGAAACAGGCATTTGCCTGTAGGAAGCTTCTGTCGGTAGAAACGCACCCATTGTTCCGAGCTGCAGACCGGAAGTGACCCAGAAACAACGCTCGTCAGAAGCAGTCCTTCCGGAAGGGATGCAAATGTGCAAAGGCCCGGTCTCTGTATGCAAGGGTTCAATGATATCGCCTTCTCGTCCGATCGTTCTCGGAATGGAAGCTGCCCTTCCCTTTCCCCGTTATGCTTGATATTACGTTCTACTGCTACCTGAGCACTATATTGCAATATCGTACTTACAATGCATCGGCTCTACCTGAGATGCAGTGCGGGGAAGTTCATAAAAGTCCGCGCGAAATATAGGGTAGGTGAAGTTTCGAATATTGCGCGAAGAAGTTCTTCCGATCAGTTCTAAATATTAAGGGACACGAAATTCTGCAAAGAAATGAATCTGAAGTGAAAAACCTCCGACATTTCCGTTTTTCCAAATCGAAGATTTGATAGTCTGGATCGTTTCACCGGTAATGGGTTCCCTCTTTCGCAAAAAATCGGACATTTTCATCGTCGCCCCCCTTCTCGTCGCAGAAGCACTGATTCGATTCGGAAACATGTATGGTGCTGATGCAGATGCATCGATGCACGTACAGCTGCATCAATGCATATGCAGCTACATCTGTATCCGTGCATACGCTTTGGTGCAGACGTAGATACACTCGTTCGTAGGAAAACGTCGATCCGACGAGACGACGAGACAAAGGGGAGTATTCATGAATCAGTCAATTGCGTTCGGCGTTGCCTTTGTGGATTCGAAAACGAGGTGTTCGATCGTCCAGAGCTCTCACCACGAGACAACGCCTTCATTTTCACCCGCTTTTCCTCCCCCATCGTCCATTAGTCGAGGCGGAGTGCCAAACGAGGCCGCCGATTTTCCGAAAACGCTGAATTTTCTCCCCGGTGGAACGATTCGTCGCTGGTCAGAGTCCATCCGCCATCCCAAAATCAGCCACTACGCCAAAACCAGCCACCATCCCAATACCAGCCACCGTCACCTCAAAACCACCAACCGTCTCAAAATCAGCCACCACCCTGAAACTAGCCATCATCTCAACACCACCCACCACTCCAACACTAGTCACCATCACCCCAAAACCAGCCATTACCTCAAAATCAGTCACTATTTCTTCAAAACCACCCACCATCCCAAAATCAGTCACCAGACACCATGCCCCCAAAGCCAGCCATCATCCTAACACCAGCCACCACCCCAAAATCAACCACCATCACCTCAAAACCACCCATTACCTCAAAATCAGTTACCACCGCAAAACTAGCCATCATCCCAACACCAGCTACCACACAACACTAGTCACCATCACCCGAAAACCAGCCACCATCACCTCAAAACCACCCATTACCTCAAAATCAGTCACCATTACCTCAAAACCACCCACCATCCCAAAATCAGTCACCACCGCAAAACTAGGCATCATCCCAACACCAGCTACCACACAACACTAGTCACCATCACCCAATACGTCATCCAAATGAACTCATGATCACCGCTACCCACTTTCTGAGGTCCCAGCAGCGACCAGGCATATAATTCCCTGTTTTTCAGCCCATGCCCTCGATTTCACGCGTGCATAATCACGCAAGGATTTGGAGGCAGACGAATGCCTCATTGCGGATTGGAATGCGCCGGGTGCGTATAAGGGTGGCAACTCGCAGGCCCGTTTTACTCCAGGGCCGTTTCACCCCTAACCATACCCACCAGCCAAATCGGGGGCTGCGCGCTCGTACTTGAATTATTTAATTGGATCCTGCGTTTTAGTGCGACTGCAAGCGCTCTGCAGTACGGTCGAATTAATTCTTCCTCGCACTACGGATATAATGGATTAAATATAACGAACGAGTTAACGCTTACCCTGCCGCCCCCTTCGACGAAATAATTATTCCTGGCTTTTGGCGCTTGCGCAAATATCGATAAAACGCACCCCCGCCCGAATCGCCGTATTGTCGGGAAGGAAATGTCTGCTCTGCCATTTCATTTCCTACCCCCGTATGGCCATTCGGGGTTTTATAATCCGCTGTGAATGATTACGCGGAGGACGTAAATATTAAGAATTCATCGGCGTTTAATTGATCCGTATATTTGTCCACCCGGGTAATGGCACTCGTGGTAATGAACGATCGAGTACCGTCACACAAATACCTATTGATTGCTTCGCTTTTATTTCCCAAGGATTATAGGATCGCTGTTAATTCCCCGAAATATTCCTCAATTTTTCTACACCCTCGTTCATGGATTGTTAACTCGTCTCTTTATCACCTTAAGGTGATACGAAAGAGTCCAAAAAGTTAAAATACTTATTACACTTTTCGTCAGGATGGGTTCAACAATTATTTTGAATTTTTAATACCGAATTGTTTCGCACTTTAGTACACGAGTATGGAGTCTATAAGATCTCACCCATGAAATGTCAAATTTAATATAAAATTTATGAAATGTCTATGAGCAAACTTTTAAGAAATTTAAATTTCAGAGCGTCGGTACTTTCTTCATAACCTCCACATTCAAGTAGTAAAGTCTGAAACGAATTAATATCAAAACGATCAAAACGATAATATCAGAACGAAACAATTAATATGAAATAAACGTGAAATAAAATGAGACCATCTATTTCTGAACATCTAAATATCCACTTTTATTTCTCCCTGCAACCCTTCTGGCCCTTTTCTACAGCAGCCACCTTTCACTTAAGTTCCTTTACACCTTTACATCGCGCAGGATCCTTTTTTTAGACGCGACAATCCGATTTGATACCACAACCCTTTCGCAGGGCGATTGCCGTAGGGAAAGAAAAAAAAAAAATGTCGCGTCTTTGGAGAACCGCGGATAACGTCTCTCCAGGGTCGAAGTTACTGAATGCCCTGAGCGAGTCCGTGGGCAAAGGTGCCCTAGGAAAAATAGTTAAGCTCGTTTAGGCGGCTCTTAGAACGAAGGCACGAGAGGGAAGTAAAGAGTCGAACAGGACTTCAAACGGAATCCATTCCCCGTAAATGCGCCGAGGGGAAATGCATGCTCGGAACCACCTCGTGTCTTCTTTCTTCCTCCCCACCTTCTCCTCCCTCCACCCTATACTCGCACCCTCGGAACAATTTCAGATTCCGCATTTAATACCACCCATTACCGGTAAACTCGCAGCGGGTGTGAATTAACTTGTCTTAAGGTGATATGAAAGTGGCGTCAAAGAGAATTTATGAAACCCCCCACCGACTGGGTGGATAGAATCCATTCAAGCCCTCCACCGTGAACGTGGATGCTTCGAATAAGGCCCTGATGAAGTATGAATTCCTCTTCTTTTAATTCCTTTTGAGACATTCTCAAGATTCTTCATAAAAACAAACGAACCACACACATGTGCGGTACCTCTGCTCGGGGTCGATAGACTGCGAAGTGGCATTTAATCCCTAATTACGCGCTTCGCGATAATACCTTATATAATCCATCTAGGTACGCAGAATGCCCTGAATAAATGACGCCTATAAATATATACAAGGGGTAGTTATCATGGAATGAGCAGTAAAGCGGCAGCGCACCCAGTCGACATAATGGACAGGAACGAGAGAGCAGTCGCGGTTATGAAGACAAACTGGATTAATATTTCGGAGTCCAGGACTTTTCGAGCCGTCCGGGTATAAGTTACCCCTTTTCTGCGGGATTCAACAATCGGGATCGAAATCGGCTTTCCAGGGTGCCCCCCATTCAAGTCTGGGCACAGCGGAAATAAAAATGGGTAGCCATGGGCATGAAGACCACGGAGGGTGCAGAAAGCTGCAGAAAGCTGCGGGGCCTCCATATATCGGCAATATGGCCGCGTGCTTTTGACTGGAAAAATTGAAAACCTGTATGCAATACGCGTGCGCCCTCGGTGTGCTTTCAAAGGATCGTAAATAATTACTTTGTTGCCGGTGGAACCTCCACCGCGTAGGACGCTCGACCGTTGTGGGTTGGAAGAAGAGGGCTGCTGATTCTCTGTCGCATCCGAAGATCCGGCCCACTGAACCGATCGCGTATATACGACCGGCAAATGGCTTTCAAATTTTTTACCCTCGATTGGCACTGCTGCCCACTTTTTTCCACGCGGGTTTGGACCCTCTGAAATGCCGCACCACGCCACACATCAGCGGTGGATCGATTGCTGATGGGCCGTTGTTCCCAAAACTGATTCATTGCTAGACTCATTATCCACGAGCGGAGGTAACGATTTAATCTGAAAGGCGACTAAACTCCACATCTCTTAGGTCGAGGAATAAGTTCGCGCCGTTTTAATAGCGTTATGTTACGTCGAAAACGGCGGGAACTTATTTCCCAAACTGATACTTCAAGCGCTGAAATGTTGACCTCCACCAGCTTGGACTGATGGCATCTCGCCGTTATGTATAATTCCTGGACGTATCAACGCGAAGTAACGTCTGGGTGCCCACTCAACTTAATGGGAATTAGGGCGAAGGGGTCAGGGTTCGATCCTTCGATCGACACTAAAATTAACGCTGGCTTAATTGTTCCAAAGTCACCGAGGACTAGTAATGGGATACTACTCACCAAAGGGCAAGCTGGTAATGGAGGACCGCCCGGTTTGGCTGGGAGGTATCTCTGAGGAAGTTGGCGAAGTTGTAGTGCATCTTGGCATTGTGTGGCAGCGAACTCAGGCCCGCTCTGAAACGAGAGAACCCCCGGGGTCAAAACGGATCCACCTTAGACCTCGAAGGGACCACCTCGTCATCTCGTCTCTGCCTTAGTTACGTTTTGTCCCGGCAGACCAATCGCTACGTGACTCGGCTAACACTAACTGCAAGTTACACACATACACGGGATATGCACGGATGAATCTACGTCTCTGGTCGACTGCCAACTTCTACTTGTTCAAGAGGATAGGGTTGGGACCTGGGCACACACCAGCCAAAGTTCCGGAGAGACCAACCGCAGCATCCCGGCTGAAAATGAACGAAAAGTACCCAAACTGCGAGGATTGTTAATGGGTCTTGAAGTTACGTCTGGTGCAGCGGCAACGAGGAAAATTTGTCGGAAAATTCCAGAGTTATCGAGATATCGGCTTCGCTTTGTAACACCCGAGCTGCAACCTGCCTACAAGTTTCATCTTCTGATCTTTTGATCATTCGGTTCATCATCTGATCCGATAGCATCATCGGACTATACTACTCCCTACAAACAAACATTCTCGCATTCTACTCCATTTATGGGCTTGCACGAGGTAAAAGTGTTCGACTCTGGATCACGACATACCTCGATGACGCATTGAACAGCAATAGAACCCGACAGATGAAATTACCCCTCAATAATAAATTCCACCCTGCACAAAGAATATCCGGGAATCGTCGTATCCTCTTCCACCAGGGGATGCATCGAATCTCCCCTTAGAAGAATCTCATCAAGTTCTTTTCCAGGTCTCCCCGGAAGAACCTTCGTAGTCCCGGGAACAACCGGAGAATAATCTCAGGTTGATCCACTTTTTAGTCCGTAGCAATAAAGAAGAAGCCACTTGCGTCCAGCTCCGGACACAACAAAACAATCACTTCTCAGCTCACGGACCCCGACTCCGGTTCTTCAGCTCCTTGGCTCATCGGATTTTCTCTTTGCCCAGGTCGTAACACACGACCGTCACGCCATACACCTGTTCCCTCACTTTTTCGATACGTGGTCGTTCGGTCACCGTAGTTCGTTCTAGCGTCCTGGTTCTGAGGTGTTGTGTGTGGAGTTAGGATGGGTATTCCGGCGTCCTAGTCCCGAGGTGTTGTGTGTGGAGTTAGGGTGGGTGTGGGTGTCGACGTGGCTCACCTCAATAACGTTTCTCGGGACGTCCAATCCCGATTGCGCAGGACGGTTCGGCAGCATCCCAGGATCAGGAGAGTGACCACACCGGTGGTGATCAAGCTTCTCCGCCGTGGAACCGCAGTCCAGGTCACCTGAGCCCCGTAAACCACCAGCAGGGTCCAACCAACGCTGCAAACAGTTCCGTATACACAGAAATGGCAGATGTGTGGGTGTTTCGTAAAGAAGCTGTCCCAGGGTAGGGCACCCTCCCGAGCCTTTGACGATGCCAACTCCGAGCTTTAAACCCAATGTCAACCCTTAGGGATACGGAGTGGTGAACGCTTCAAACTCCGCAGAACAAAGTGGCAAAGCTCGTTATTTTAAATTGAATTCCCGGCCTTCCGAAAGCGGCCTGCTTAAAACAACCAATAATGCGGGAGAGAAGGCAGTGCATTAAACTTTCGAAGGTAATTAGTTTCCCGCTCGCTGCAGTCTCCATCGAGGATAAGGAGAGGAGAGCTTCTGCGATTCCTTGCGATGTTTAGAGACGCACTCGAGAAGACTTGGTAATGGAAATCTGAACAATTACTTGAAAACTGCTGGAGGATACTTAAGGCGATGCGGAAGGCGTCGAAAAATTTCATCGGCGTCGGTCTAAGCGTTCTTCTGACTCATCAGCTTAAATCTGTCAGATCAAACAATCTCCAGTCTTAATTTTCGACAATAATGCTATTTCCGAAATGTTGGACTCCTATATCCAAGTGGTAAATTTTGAAACTATTAGGTACACCCAGTTCGGAGAAAAATGTTATAAATAATTAGACACTTTCACATCACCTTGTTAGGAAGAGGAGTTAATTTTAATTTTAAAGGTAAGGTAATTTTAAAGGTAAAGTTTTCACCTGGGGATGTAGAGGACTCTCTCAGCTACAACGAATCCCACCGTCACGAAAAGATTGGACGCGGGAAGGAACGGCAGCACCAGGAACATCCAACCAAGGACTAAGGGCGGATGCCTTTGTTGCTGAAAAGACAAAAACGAACACATCAGTTCTCGGCCTCATCAACCAATTTTTCTGTCTTCGATATCCATTCGGTGACCATATTATCAGTCACGTGTATCACAATTGCATTCTGATCATCTACTGACACTGCTACGCATTTGGTGTTTCACAGATTCCCCGTCCATCCAAAGCCACGCTTAGAAAATCGACCAATGCATTGCATCCTTATCAGCCACCAACGCTGTTACGCATTCGGCATTTCACAGATACCCCAAATCCTCGCTTAGAAAATCGACTGGCGCGTTTCGCAGTTCAAACATCCCCGCCAGCATTTGCGGAGCAGTTCGTTTTAACGCCGACAGAACAAGGTTATGGGTTGCGTGCGCTTGTAATTAGAATTCCGTGGTACCAAGTGGACGCGCTTTTGTGCGTCTGAATTACAGCCCTTTATCATGGCTAACACGAGGGCTACAGGGGCGCACTCTGGCGGCGGCGCTGCCCAACGACCTAGGGACGCACGCGGAACAGATACGTTTCGGGTCAGTAGTTCGTGTCCAGTCCGTGCGTTGTATTTCAATGGGGCCGCGATATGAGAGGACAAGGACGAAAACGACGCCGTGTACCCCGGGATATTTGCATATTTTAATAGAATACACGTAGCTAAGCACGGCCGACTCTCACCAGCGCCGAATGCGAGCCCATGTTCTGCGAGGCACAGTTCGCGGCTCCCCCCGGGCCCACTAGATGGCACTACCACCGCTTTCATTAGAGTTAATTGTTCCGTCGGTGTCGAAATTCAAAATTCCCGCCCTAGGAGCTCTCCCGAGAAGAAAGTCTTATAACTTACACCTCGGTGATGTGCATCGTTGTACCGGGTTGTTTATTTCTGGGGTACATCACCCCTGAGTCTACCTATTTTCCCTGGTACTTAGAACAACCCTATGTACACCGCGAGGGCAGATATTCTGCAATTTTCTGCACCCTCTCCCCAGCCATTTGTTAATTGACACCTTATAAAGGCCTTTGTAACATACTTGACATTGTCATGAAAGAGAGTGTATAAAAAATTACGAGCAACATTCGAGCCGAAGTTCAAATAATTGAAAAATACAATGAGGGGTCATTTTTGCAATGGGAGGTTGATTGTTAATGTTAAAGGTATTAATATTGATGGGAACTGAAACTTTATACGTATCAGGGTGTGCCCTGAAAGGCGTCAAACTAGAACATACTGACACGGGACTTTGTATTGACGTGCTTTACACCTGACTGGGCGGCATCAAATGATCCGGATGTCGCGTCGAGATGACATGACCTGGCGCCAAGTTTCTTCCACTTTGCCGTCGTTTTTGACGGGTGAAAGCATGGCATCGTGTCCCAAACATGTCACACTGTCAGCTTGTTTCGCCCATGACCACCAAGTTTCTATTGGCACTTTGCCAAACTCACGTCACGAGTGGGTGTCGCGACTTGACGCAAGAGGTAGCCAAGAATTTGAGGCGATATGAAAGGGTCATTCCAAATAAATGAAACCTCAAAATATTAATGCAACTTCTCCCCAAACTGGATGTACCGAATCATTTGAAACGCTGACGCGCAAGGAAGAACGCAAAACTCGTGAAACTTCCCTTCGCACAAAAAAAAATGTGATCCTGGTCCTGATGAAGATGAAATTTCACGAGCGTCATGTTCTTCCTTAGGACCTTCGTAATTACGTGCTGAAGTATTGTATCTCTAATAAGTTCATTGCCTAACAGACCACTGTAATTCGCTGATCCGACACTCATTGATCATCAGACATCGTTAGGTTCTATTTCAGAATTATTTCCGCGGGTTTACTAGCACCCAACACAACATCACATCCATCATAATCCAAATCAGTTGTCCACTTCGAACCCAACAAGTTTTTGCCGCACAATGCATCGCTAACAGTCCATACAAGATCAACACTTAACCAACTGACAAATATAACCCACGCCATTCTGATGGACCCTTTCAATGCGATCCGATTCGTATGTAGAGGACACAGTGACGAAGACAATACCCTCCCCGAGTGCGCTTCAAGTTACCATCACGATAGAACGGATCTCCTTTTGCGATGATTCGATACAACAATGGGCCTCATCTTGCGCCTACTAGGGGGAACTGGTGGTTTTTCGCAAAAGCCCGTTTCCCATAACAAGGGCTCATCACAGGGTATTCGCAGGTGGGCTGGTGGTGTGTGTGTGTACCCAGGCACCCTACGCACCCTACATTCACCAGAATATCCCCATCGATTGTGCGTTTCGAATCTGGCGAGTTTCCGCAGCGAGATACATCGCTGGCGGTACAAGCTGGCATTAGCGCCAACCCGAATCAGGATAATAAGGCCTACTAATGACGCACGAGTGGCTTCCGCATACCTTGCACACGTGGGGCATGTGCATGGGCATTTGTTGTGGATATGTGTTGTATGGCTCCATTGTGGGTCCGGGCCATTCACGTGTGTGGCCAGCATGTTTCCAGTATGATGCTCGCATGTTGTCGGCATATTGCCGAAATAGCGCGTGCAGGTGCAACACCATAGGTAGACGCCATGGAAGACGTCGGAATGCCCCGGACTGCACTTGGCCCCTGGAATCGCGATGCAATTGGAATTCCGGAAGAGCCCGTCCTAATTCGTTGCCACATTTCCGACGTCGTTGCCGGCCTCGAATCCACAATTTGTGGACATTGCTTGCCTGGGACTCTGGTGCAAGGCTCGACGTCATTCCTGGTGTTAAGAGCCGTGGCATTGCACTTCTTACGCACATTTAGGAGCATACCAAATTGTCATTGGCGGTTTTAGATTGTGGTCCAAGAGTTGCTGCTGGGGAGGCTTGCCAAAAGTGTTGGGCATTACCTCTTTAAAGTGAACCAACCACTGTATTTACGAGTCAAGTGTCCAACACAAGGGAGTTGTCCAACAAAGTCTAGCTGCTTTGTCCATAGCAGTCCATAGAACATAAATCAAATCTTGGAAGCAGCTGAGTACACATCAAGCCATTTCTTATGGATCTTTGATTGATGGTCGTTCCCTTGTAATTAATTCCCAGGTTATATGCATGCCTGCACTTCAGATGCGTTAGGGTGCATTCCGCACCCCAGCAGGATTCTCCTGATGAATGGAATTTCTCCAAGCCATGAATCGCTCGACTTTGGCCGTACAACCTGGCACAGCCACTGGTCTGAATCAGGATAATAAGGTGGCATACCTTCTCTGCGTGTGTACAGTAAATGTTTCGTTACACCATCGCCAATCTCGCGTGCCAATGTACACGTATATCTTTATCGTGGTCCTCGAGCAAGCTCGTATGTTTAAGTGACAATGCTCGCCAGTTGCAGGATTATTGCTCGCAAATTTCGGCCCCGTGAACACATTGCTCTGCATTCCTGAAGACGCTAGAATCTCCTCGGACTACACTTGCTGCTTTGTTCTAATTACTAACTAAATCCCGAGGGTGTTGTGGATCTCGGATTCGGAATGCCATTTCGTGCTGATCCCCGATGACCCTAATGCATTACAGAATACCTCAAACTGAGACTACCCTGACACCAATTTAGGACCATTTCTGCGATCATTCTGAAAGTATTCAATAATTCCATCTTACGGAAATTTACCAAATCAACATTATCAACATATTTGAACCTAACTTTTGCTAACGAACTCTAAACGTTATACTGCTAAATTGGGATTAATTGGTCACCTAGGGAAAATCTATTAAAAGGCAGATTTTATTTCGGGAGACTTCAATGCGCTGCCGAAAGGAATTTCAAGAGTTTTAACTAGCCTTTAATAATTACGTCCTGTACGTATTTCTATCAATTGATGTTCAAAATCGTTCTCTTTGACATCAGTGTAGTCAGGTTAAAAAAAAATGCAGAGATCAAAGTGAATTCCTTGCATTTCAATTTGCGCATCCGAGACTTCATCGTTCCCATATCAATCCGAAATATTTCCAGTTCATCAGCGGAATAATTATCTTCCTTTGCATTTCATGGGAATGGCGTCTTTTTCCGATGGACATGCAATGTGTTAGAGTAACAAAAACCCCATGGATTTCGGAAATGCCCCTTTGGAGGAATCAGGTTAACCCTTATCACTCCAAGAATATTAGAAGAGTAGAAATTGGCAGTATTACTGCTGGTTGGAGTGATAAGGGTTAAAGATCTATCGATTAATAGTCCATTCGTTTCTCCAATACGTGGTGAATAATTTCCCTTCGTGTTCCCCGCGGCTTGGAAATGAAATCTCCGGCGAAGTTTTTCAATTTCAAAGCCCTTCGAAATGCTCCGTCTGTACGATTTTAATCCCAGAGGTTTTCGGCTCGTTAGCGGAATTATTTCCTCCGATAGGAAACGCGGAAACGCATATTCTTCGGGGAGAAATTAAAACACGCGGTTAAACAATCCGTCATTCCAATCGGGGGAACAAATATTTTCTTTCTGACCATTTAATTCAGAGTGGAAAGTATTCCCTGCAATCGGGAGAGCGATTCTCTCAGGAAATTGCAATTTTTCCCACCAACCTTAACATCGCTGTTAGGGTACAACTGAATATAAATAATAATAAATAATTATGTTTAACACTGGAACTACCAAACCTAATCAAAATGACCAGTTTCAGATGGCCCACCACACCAACAAAAAAATCCGCTGATAGTTGCAGTGTTAAGTAGATGTAGTTGAATAGATGACTTGGTAGATATCATCGACTACAAATTACTATTAATCTCTTTCAGATGAAAAGAGCAAGACGAATCATACTCCATTTAGGAGCTGATCAATATCTCACAGCACCAATATCAACGAAGCTGAGCAGGCCCTTCAAATCTAATCAAATCTAACCAAAATGACCAGTTTCAGATGGCCCACCGCACCAACAAAAAAATCCGCTGATAGTTGCAGTGTTAAGTAGATGTAGTTGAATAGATGACTTGGTAGATATCATCGACTACAAATTACAATT